TATGGAACGCTTCACGAATTTGCGTGTCATCCTTGCGCAGGGGCCATGCTAATCTTCTCTGTATCGTTCCAATTTTAGTATATGTGCTGCCGAAGTGAGCACTGTCTCCTTACTTTTATGTGTATGTTCAAACCATTCAGGAGATCATTTAGTTTGGGGTTTTCCTTAAAATGCTCAGTGTCTGTGAGTGGAAGTGAGCCATTTTCTCTGTTAAATATCACTCACCTACAGGGAAAAATCAATTGAGTGCTCATAAATAAAAGAAAACTAACTTAGATTTTTGTTGTTTGTTAGTTTTATTTTTAAAGAAGGGAAAATATTAAAAACTTTGACTTAATTACTTTTGCATTTAAGTACTGCGAAAGTGAAACCTTGAGACTGATGACCCTTCACAATTGTAAACCAGTATAGAGGTAGCTGGGCTGTCAGGGAGCTCTGGTAGCATAGTGCCTAAGGCACTTGACTGCTAACAAGAAGACTGGCGGTTCAAATCCACCAGCCATTCCTTGGAAGGAAGATGGGGCAATCTACTTCCATAGTGATACTGCCTCGGAAACCCAAGTAGGGGTCGCTATGAGTCGGGTCCAACTCGACGGCACATAACAACAACATACATTTAAAACGGAGCCCATCAGCACATCGTGGGAGAAAGATGAGGCAGTCTGCTTCCATAAAGATGTTGTTGTTGTTATGTGCCATTGAGTTGGACCCAACTCATAGAAACCCCCTCCTTCAGTTTCTGAGGCAGTATCCCTACGGAAGTAGATTGCCCAACCTTCCTTCCAAGGAGTGGCTGGTGAGTTTGAACAGCCAGCCTTCTGGTTAGCAGTCAAGTGCCTTAGGCACTATGCTACCAGAGTACAGCCTTGGAAACCCTATGGGGCAGTTCTGCTCTGTCCTGTAGGGTCATTTGAGGCAGAGCTGTTGACTTGATGGCAGTGGGTTTGGTTTCTTTGGGTTTTGTGTGTGTGCGTGAGAGAGATTTGAGTGAAAGTTTACAGAGCAAATTCATTTTTCATACAATAGTCCACACACATTTTGTTTCATGACATTAATTACAATCCCCATAAAGTAACAGCTCTCTTCAACTTCCTCCCTGTGGTTACCCTTTCCCTGTGTCCTTTTTTCCTATGCATTCCTGCCTTCTGAGCTTTCTCAGTGCAAATACTGCCCTTCTCATCTCCCATGGTTGATTGTTCCAAGGAGTATACCTACCTGGTGTAAATGTTCACCTTACATGCCTGTCTATTACTTGTCTAGAAGCCACGATGTGAGTTCAATTCCAGGCCCAAAGGGTGACTAGGGGCCATAGTCTCAGGTTTCACTAGTTTCTGTCAAACCAGTAAACCTGGTCATTTTTTATGATTTTGAGTTTTGTTCCACATTTCTTTCCCTCTCTATCCAGGATCCCATATTTTGATCCCTTTCTAAGCGGTCGACAGTGGTAGCAAGGCACCATCTACTTCTTCTGGTCTCAGGGTCATGTAGGCTGAGGTTCACATGGTCCACTAGTCCCTTAGAGTAATTGTTTTCATGTGTCTTTGGTTTTCTTCATTCTTCTTTGCTCTGGATGAGGAGAAACCAATTGCTGAATCTTAGATGGCTGCTTATAAGCATTTAAGACCCCAGTCACTACTGTGGTTTTATACATTTGAAAAGTACTTTCTTCATATATGTTACCGCATTTGAAAAATACATTTATAGAGGATTGTATTGAACTCTTATTGTATGTTTGATTTTTGTTATGCGTATGAGCACATGTGTATATATACACGTATACTTACCTCACTTTTATATTATGGTCAGTTAAGGAAGCAAATGGCATTCATAGACAAAGGAAGTAAGGAACAAACAGATGACAAACATTTAGCAAGTTATCCAAGGTATATAAAAAGACATTTAATTTTAAGAAGCTAGCTGCTGGCAGAAATAAGTTAAACTAAGGGCTTTGGTGATGTAGTAGATAAGGCATTTGGCTGTTAACCAGAAGGACAGTGGTCCAAACCCACCAGCCACTCCACAGAAGGAAGATGGGGCAATCTATTTCCATAAAATTTACAGCCTTGGAAACCCACCGGGGGTTGCTGTGAGTTGGAATGACTTAATGGCAATGAGAGTTTTGGGGTTTTTTTAAGGGCAAATGTAGTTCACAAACCAGTAGTTTCCTCCTACTAATTCTTCAGCCATGACTCCTCAGCCATGTGCTCTGGACAAAAAGGGAAGTTAGTGGTATGAGAGATGTGCAAAACACAGCCTGTATCAAAAGTGGCTTGCTGTTTCTTTATTTACTCAGCATTGATTAAGTGCCAGCACTGTCACACACTGTTAGGGATCCAGAGATTAATAGAACATGGTCCTTATCGTTATGAAGGGTAAGAGTCAGTGAAAGAAGGGTTGCATGTGCTCAGAGTGTGTGACACCAGCCTCCAGTATCTCATATGAAACTCTGGTCTTATGGTGTATGTCCCTGGGTGGACTTAAACCTTTAACCTTCTGATCGGTCGCCAAGTGCATTAACCATTTGATTTTTACCACCCAGAGACTCCAGTAGATGAAGAGGCTACTTTCCTTATAAATAGCATCCCAACATTGTGGTTGGTGATATTGAAATCATATATTCACATTTCCTCTTCTGCAGTTCAAAAAATAACTTGTTAAATAAGACTGTTTTTCTGAAGTATTGCCTAATATCTGTCAGAGTTTTCTTTTAATTCTATGTTTTCAACCTTTGCAGCTAAGATATCAACATGGACTGGGAACTCCAGACTTGAGACAAACCCTTCCTAACCTGAAAAACTTCATGGAGCATGGACTAATGGTCAGGTGGTGAGTACCTTTATCTCTGATATCGGAAACTGTAACATGGATAGTGATCCTGAGACATTGCCTAACTCCTGCATTGCCCCACATTTGCCTTCCAGGGTTTCTTCTGTAATGAGATATCTGAAGAAAAGAAAAGATAGCCTCATACTTGTGTAGGTCTAAGTTACAGCCTGGCTTAAGGTGAAACACCCTTGGATGGGGAATGTTGTTTGAACGTTTAGGGGTTGGCTGGACAAGGAATGCTTGAGTAATGCATTACTGAGGCAGAGACTGGACGACAGCACTCGATTCACAAAAAGGAGCCCCTAGACTTTTCCAAAGAACAAGGGAAGGACATACCTCTAGAGTAAGCATTGGGGTCAGTGACTATGAGAATTAAGGGGAGAAAGGACTCAAGGAGAGGGTAAAGTAGATGGTCAGGACCCAGCCTGAGACCAGGAGACACATACTAGAATGCTGCTTATATTTGGAGGAGAGCAAGCTGTTGCTTAAAAGTCTTTTGTCAGGATAAACCTGACCCTTTTCAAAAGCAAGGAGCAGGGAACCTGATGCAAAGAAGACATTAGATTGATTTGATCAACTTAAATAAATGGAAAGGTATTGACTCAAGTCACTGAGAGATTCTTGAAGTTTGAGTCCTTGGGTGATAGGCAGTTTACAGCATCATGTGAATGGAAACCAGGGCTCTAGAGTTAAACTGGGAGCTCTGGTAGCATAGTGGCTAAGACACTTGCCTGCTAACCAGACGGCTGGCGGTTCAAACCCACCAGCCACTCCTCGGAAGGAAGGTTGGGCAATCCTACTTCCGTAGTGATACTGCCTCGGAAACCCAAGGAGGGGTCGCTATGAGTCGGGGCCGACTCGACGGCAAAACAACAACAACAACAACAGAGTTAAACAATTGGAAGTAGCGCAGTCTCTTGTAAGGAGCACTGGCTTCTGACCCCAGCTCTTTTTCTAATCTTGACTACAAGGCCCAAAACAATCAGAGAACTCCTCTGCAGGAACCCATATAGAACTAAGCCAAGAAGACTCGATGTTTGTTCATCTTTCAGAATTTACTTAGTTACCTAGTGCTACTGTAACAGACACATCACAAGTGGACAGCTTTAGGGAAATAAAAGAAATTTATGCTCTCACAGTTTAGGAGGCTAGAAGTCTGAATTCAGGGTACCAGCTCTAGGGGAAGGTTTTCTCTCCCTTTCAGCACAGTTTGGGAGAAAGTCCTTGTCTCTTTTCAGCATATGTGGGCCCAGCATTTCTTGGAGATCTCCATGTGTCTTAATCTTCCCCTGGGTCTAGGAGCTTCTCAGCATAGGAATTCCAGGTCCAAAGGATGCACTCCACTCCTGGCTCTTCTGTCTTGGTGATCCTGAGGTCCCTCTCATCTCTGCTCTCTTGTTTAATCTCTTTTATATCTCAGAAGAGATTGACTCAAGATACAACCTAATCCTGTAGATTGCATCCTGCCTCATTAATATAACTGCCTATAATTATATTAATTCATTCACAAAATGAAGGATAAAATACGTAATACTGAGAATCAGAGCCCAGCCAAATTGACACGTATTTTGGAGGAACAGAATTCAATATAGAACGTTAACCAATCAGAAAAATCCCTCCTCCTCTGAGAGAAAGTGAGTGAGAGGATGGAGAGAAGCCATGAATATTATTTCCAAGTCATATTCCTTCTTAGGAAGGAAAAAAGAAGATGCTCCAACTCTTTTGATATCTGGTATGGTAAGATTCTGCCATGCTTATGGTCTTCTTCAAAACTTTTTGTTTTTTCTTGACTTATGAATCTTATCTGAGTGGTTTCACAGCTTTATGATATTGAATCTTCTTGTCCATAAACCATGGTATCTCTTTATTTACTTATTAGGATACCTCACTTAAGTTTTATAATTTTCTTTATAAAGGTCTTACACATCTTTTATTAGATACTTAGACCTAGGTAACTTACAGGTTTTGGTGGCTTTTGTAAATTTTTTTATTATAATATCCAATTTTTTTATGGATGGGATATAGGAATACCACTGATTTTTGTGTTTTGAGATTATATCCAACAGCCTTGCTGGACGTATTAATTATAATAGATTGCTTTATATTCTGTTTTTACAACTTTTACACATTTTATTGTCTTACTATGTTTTATTGTGGAACAGAAGCAATGATAGTGGTTATCCTTGTCTTGCTCTTAACTTTAAAGAGGATGCCTCACCATTAAATATTATATTTATTGCAGGTTTTGGTAGATATCCTTTGTCAACAAAAGGAAATTTCTTTGTATTCCCAGCTTACTAAGAGTAGTTTTTTCATCAGGAATGTGTGTATTTTGAATTTTATTAAATGCTTATTCTGGAGCTACTGAGATAATACTATAATTTTTACCCTTTAATCTGTTAATAAATTAATTAAATTATTAATTATATTAATAAATTATCTTATGTTAAGCTACCTTTGCCTCGTGGGATAAATTCTGCTTAGTTATGAGGTATTATTTCCCTACATTATTAGATTTGATTAGCTGATATTTTTTACAATGTCTTCATATAAGATCAGAGATGAGACTGGCCTACTTTTTTTTTTTTTTTGCATACTATCCTTGTCTGATTTTGGTTACAAAATAAATTGAAAATTTTCCCTTCTGTTTTCTGGAACAAGGAGCCCTCATGGTTTAGTGGTTAAATGTTCAGCTGCTAACCAACAGGTTGGCGGTTCAAACCCGCCAGCTGCTCTGCAGGAGAAAACTGCTGCATCTGCTCCCATAAAGATTATAGCTTTGGAAACCCTATGGGGTGGTTCTCCTCTATTCTAGAGGGTCAGCTATGAGTCAAAATCGACTCAACGGCAAGAGGTTTGATTTTGTGGGTATTCTCTGGAAAAGTTTATGTAAGGCAGGAATTAATTAGTATATCTTGAAGTTCTGATAGAACTTACTAAAAGCCATATGTTTTGTTGTTGATAGGGAGAGTATAGATTTTTAACTGCTGATTTCTGTGATCATTATTGGCCTGTTTATGTTTTATTTTTCCAGTCCCTCATTAATTTACTCAAATATCATTTCCAGTTCCATCAGTCTACTGCAATTCCTTTTATCTAGGTAGATATACTGAACTCTGCTGCCGAGCCCAATGTCACTTTTCTTTCCTTACCCTGTTCAGCATCTCAGCGGCACTTGCCCTTACTGACCATTCCTATCTTCTAGAAGCAGTCTTCTTTCTTGGCTCCCAAGGTACTGGCCTCTGCGATTTTCCCCCTTCTGGCAGCTTTTCTCCATTTTGTGTATTGCTCCTCCTGTGTATGATCTTTTCCGTACTGTATGGGAGCTCTCCGTGATCCAGCCTTTGTTGTTGTTGTTGTTATGTGCCGTCGAGTCAGCCCTGACTCATAGCAACCACTCCTTGGTTTTCTGAGGCAGTATCACTACAGAAGTAGATTGCCCAACCTTCCTTCCAAGGAGTGGCTGGTGGGTTTGAACCGCCAGCCTTCTGGTTAGCAGTCAAGTACCTTAGGCACTACGCTACCAGAGCTCCTGATCGGTCTTAGGCCCTCTCATTTTCTCTCTCTGTTCTCTTCTTATGTGATCGCATCTATTCCCATAGTTTTGAAAAGTATCCTTATGAGTCCCAAAGTTACATTTTCAACATAAACCTCTCCTGCAAACTCTGAATAGCCACAGACCTACTTGACACCTTCCCAAGGCATCTCGTCTTCATCATAGCTAAAACTGTCCTCAACCATTCTTTCTTTCAGCAAGTGGTACCCTATCTACCTAACTACCAAGTCAGAAACAAGGGAATCATCTTTGACTCCCTTCTTTTCCTCACTCCCACCAGATCCAATCTAATTCACCAGCCAGTCCTGTCATCTGTACCTACAAAATACATATCAAATCTGACCACTTCCCACCATCTCTCCTACTACCATCCCAGTCTGAGCCACCACCTCTCTTACCCAGTCAGCTGCACTAGTCTTATTTTCTCTCTGATTTCACTCTTGCCCCACCACAGTTCATTCTCCACAGCAGCCAGAGTAGTCTTTTTTAAAATTTAACTATATCTTAATCATTCCCTAGCTTCAGTGGCTAGAATTAAGTCCAAGCTCTTTTCCACGTTATACCTAGCCCCTACCTCTCCCCGTGCCTCATCTGATGCCACTTTTCCAGCATCTCATGTACAGTAGCTATACTGGCCTCCTTTTAGTTGTGTGAAAAGCTCTTTCCTGTCTCATTGTCATCAACACTCACTGTTCCCTCTGTTGAATGTGCTCTCCCTATTCCTTCTCTCCTACCCATCCTTACCTCACCCCCTCAGATAGAGGGAACAGTTAAAGAAAGGGCACAGTAACTTTGTTGACAAATAGACCACCTTGGCTAGAGTACAAAGTCATTTTAGGGACAGGGAGAATCCAGGCTTTGTCGTGCCTCGAGCTTATAAACAATTTCGGAGCTCTTTTTAAGGAAAAAAAAAAAATCTGCAAATGCCAAAATTAGGTATAAAAGAAATACTTAAAATAAGAAAGAACATCACAACAAATTAGTGGACTCTTCCTTTTCTTCTGTGATCTCTTTAGACACCCAGAATGCTTACACAGAAGTGCTTCCTTATGGCAACCTGACTGCCTCTCCCCTCCTGGAATACAGTACTTCAGTTTCCACCAGCTCTCAGTTCTGAGGGACAACAAATTAAATGACTTTTCAGGCATAGTTAACCCATGAACCTGAAGCTAAAAAACTAGAATCTAGATTTCTTAGCACCAATATAGTAAACCCTTTAAACCCCAAACTAATGCACTTAGACACTGCCCTTAGTGCAACCTGTGCCAAGTATATTAACACTGGAACAGTAAGATGCCACTCTTTGGTGCTCTAATGAAAAATCAGCAGCTAAGGTAGATGCAAAGTATTGCAAAATGACTGCTACATAATGGTTGCAAGTAAAGACCACTGCAGGAAGCCAGGCTAGAAGTTACAAATCTAAACAGAGCCAAAATGAAGCACT